ATTATATTTTTCCCTTCTCCGCTTCTGGTCTTGATCCCTTTTCCCCATCTTTAATTGTGGTACTAATATAGTCAAAAATTTGAGGCCTCATTTCGGCCCCGGTCGCGCCGAGTGCGGCCTCTCATCTCGCCGTTTTTTACAGTTGCTCGTCAAGTTCAGTGCCACCCAAATCACGGGTGCCATGAGCTCCCCTAATTTTTGCTGCCTGGCCAACGCGGAGCACCGTCAAAACACGGACTTGTCTTTGAGCCTAAGACCCGAAACCGCAGATTTAAGGCGGCGCACTGCTTGTGGCTGCCTGACAGTGAGCCCGGACCACTTCTCGACGCCCCCGTCGAGCCCTAACCACTTTCGTCAGACGAAGCGGACGAGCTTCAGGGTGATTGCCCGTAAAGGACGCCCACGTCGGCGTTCAATTGTCTTATGTTTCAGTTTGTTTTGAGTTCTAGGGCTAAGTAGATGATTTTTGACTTTCCTTCTCTGCCGGGTTCTCGGCCTTGGTAGGATACTTTTTTTCTTCTGTCGTTGGCCCGAGAAGGGTGCCGTTGTCTAATGCGGACTCTCCGTCTGACCCTCCTGAGCACAAATAATCATTTCTTCTCTCTCCCTAATGCCAACCCTTTGACCTTTCTTCTCTCCACTCTTTTTCTCTTCTTGGAACTTTCCCCTGCCTCAAATCGTCTCGAGGGGGCTCCATCCTCCATTCTAGCCTTCCCTTTTCCTTTCGGGCCCGTCAGCGATAAGGTGGGTGCTGGCCTGGGCCTAAATAGCTTTAACCTAGCACCCGCCACCGGGTCCTTCCACTTGGATCCATCTAATTCTGCTATCATACAGGCCCCCCAGTCGAGTGCCTCAACCACTCTGTAAGGTCCCATCCATCTGTTGGCGAGTTTTCTGGTCCAGGTCCTCTCCAGTGCTGCGTCGTAGAGAAGGACCATATCCCCTACGCTCACCCTCTCTTTCCTGATCCGCACGTCCTTATCCCATCTATCTTTACCTTTGTCCCTTTCCACTGCCAGACGATCTGCCGCTGTCATAAGGTTGTCTTCCAAACCGTAGGCTATCTCTCTCGTCCGGGCAGCTATGAGTTCCTCTTTGGACATCTCCTCCGCCCAGTCAATGGTTGTCGAGCTGTCGATGTGAAACTCTATGGGGAACGGATAATGCCGCCCAAACCACAAGGTGTATGGTGGGTACCCAATGCTAGCCCGGACTGTGACGTTGTCCGCCCATATCGCGTATCGAAAATATCGTGGCCAATCACTGTCCTTACCTTTGCACCACTTGGATAGTGACGCTATCAGAGTCTGATGCCCCCTCTCTACTGGGGAGTTCGACTGTGGGTGGTAGGCGGTGGCTATCGAGACTCTCGCCCCAGCTCTCTTGAACACACTCTGAACCTCGTCAGCTAGAAACTCCGCCCCTCTGTCCATCACTATCTTGCTGACACAACCATACCTAGATAAGTACTCCAGGACGAAGTTCTTCACTTCCTTTGCCGTCTTACTGCTGATAGGTCTACCGTCCACGAACCCAGTGAAATCGTCTCGTATGTTCACAACGTAGTTCATATTGCCTACCCCTTTCGGCATCTTCACCAGATCGATGTGTACCTTCTCTCCCGGCCTGGTCGGATAGGATGGATGAAGCGACTCTTTGTATTTCACAAAAGCTCTCTTCTGGCACTCCTCACAGGTCATACAGTATCTCTCGACGTCCTTATACTGTCCTTCCCACCAGTGCAGCCTGCGTACCTTTTCGTAGGTCCCTTTTACTCCTCTATGTCCTCCGACTACCCCGTCGTGAAGCTCCGCAACTATCGTCTGTCTCTCCTCTGGATCACAGACTACTTGTAAGGGCATTCCCGACCTGACCGGCCTTCGGAAAAGGTGGTCCGCTCTAAGGCAGTACTGGGCTGCTTGTCTCCAGATATCTAAATCTTGCCTCTCCTCACCCGAGAAATGTAGCTCGATCGTTCGGTAATTGTCCTCATAGAGGTTAACCAGAAATCGTTCGGCGCGTCTCGGCTCTGCCAATGTCAGGGCTCCAGCTACTATCGGGCGCTCAGCCTCACGAGGGATCCGAGAGAGCCCATCTGCTACGACATTTTTAGCGCCAGATATCCTCTCAACTGTGTAATCATATAGCCGAATCCGTATTAACCATCGTGCAATGGTCGGGTCCGTCAGGCTAAAGTCCTTCTTGAGGACAGAGACAACCGCTATGGGATCTACTCTCAACATGAACCAACGTCCATAAATATAGTGTTTGAACGTGTCTAGACACCGCAGAACAGCTAACACTTTCTTCTTGAATTGACTGTAGTTACGCTCAGCCGTATTTAGTGTTCTACTCTCAAATCTTAACGGTCTTTCCTTCCCTCCAACGCCCTTCTGAGACAGCAATCCACCTACTGAACAAGGCCCAGCATCCGTGGATACTATGAAGGGTCTCTCGGCCTCATCGTCAAAGAATGGCACGCCCAGTACGCGTCCTCCCTCCTTAAATTCGTCTTTAAGCTCTTGCATAGCGAGTTCCTGCGAGGTATCCCAGTAGAATGTCTCAGTCTTTCGAAGGAGTAACCTGAATAGCTCAGCCTTCTCCGCATACCCCCGTATAAATATCCGCCAGTAACTAACCACTCCCAGAAACTGCCGGACCTCGATTGGACTATGTAACGGTGACGGCCAGTCCAGGAGTTTGTCTAGCTTCGTCGGATCTGCTCTGCGTCCTCTCGAGTCACAGATAAAGCCCTGATCTTAATAGTCGAGACTGCCCATCGGCTCTTTGTTCCGCTGACCGTTAAATTCGAATCGTCCAACTGCTCAAATACCGCGCAAATATTTATTAGGTGCTGCTCGACGAATCTTCTAACTCCTGGTACAACCTCTGTCTCATCCTTCTTTACTGGCCCTTTTATAAGAAAGTCATCCAGAAAAACTTCAACCTTATCAGGGATGAAGTCTTTGAGGACGGCTACCAAGGCTCTCTGAAAAACGGATACCCCGTTAGTCCAACCCATAGGGACAACCATCATCTGTATCAGTCCCAATGGCGTGTGCATAGCCATGAGGTGTCTTTCCCTAGGATCAAGCGGTACCTCATCATAGCCTGAGAACAAATCACAGACCGAATAAATCTACCTGCCTGCGGCGCCTTCAACCAATAAGTCGGCGTGTGGCACGCAGCCCACGTCTCGTATCGTCACCGCGTTGACCTTCTGAAGGTCCTGGATCCACCGGATCTTGCCATTCGGCTTTCGTAGGAAGAACCATCGATTAGCATAAGCGCTATCAGACGGTTCCGCAGCATGGGAAACCATCTTTTCTTCCAGGAAGGCGATACCTTCTTCCTTCTCCCTCTGTGCGTATCTCCACCATGCGTCATTCCATGGAACATGTGGAATCGTGTAAATCCTTGCTGGCTTTGCGTATCGAGGGTCAACCCTACCGCGCTTCGCGTCGTTGAAGGCTATAGCCTTATCGCACGTCTTTAGGATCTCTATCATACGTTCCCGCTCCTGAGAGGTCAGGTTCCCATCTCCGATGTCCATCCCTGCTACTCTCTCTTTCGTTAGGCGTTGCGGCTCCTTTTTCTTTCTTTCCTTGATTTTCTTTGCGATCTCTTCTTCCGATATCCCTTCCAGTGCAGATCGCTCGCGGCCTACCGCCGCTGGCTTGACCTTTTGAGCTACTCGCTTGTGTCGCTTGGGTAGCCCCCCACAGGGGGCCGTGCCCTTAAAAAAGACACGGACACCACACCGCCAAATTCCTCATCTGTCTCCTTTGGGTATGAGTTGCTATCCACTATCAGCCGAATCCCTAAATCTTTCACTTCCACGATCCGACTTTCTTCCTCTGTGAGCAGTGGTCCATACTTCTTCTCGTGAAATCGCACCGCGCGTCCGGAGATAGGTAATGACTTAATCTGATCACTGGGCCTTGCACCCACAACGAGAGCTGCTCTGTTCCTCGGGTTCCGAGGCTCCACTGTCTCAATCATAACCCGCGTCCCATCTAGCTTCTTAATGGACAATGTCTGGCTCCCATCCGGTCGCTCTATCGTTACCGCATGCACGTGGCTCAACCACGTTCGTCCCAAGAGCAGATCGGAGCTGCAGTTCTTGACTGTAAAAACAGGCAGGGTCACTCGTACTCCTTGGACTTCTATAGCTGCTTTGTGACAAACCCCGGTGATCTGTTGCTTTCTCCCGTCAACCGTCTCTATCTCGAATAGGTATGACCTATCGAGGCCCAGTCCAACCTGTACTGCCAGATCCTCGTCTATAATGACAGCCTCACTGCCGTTATCGATCACAGCATCTAGTACCGCCCTGTCGTTTATGATCGCCTCCACGGCCCCACTACCAAGTATGTAAAAATTGTCTGGAGGGACACCTTCCATCCCATCAAGAAGGACTGTCGCCATGCGATCCGCTCTGGCAGTCACCCCCGTTACTGCTACAGTAGGAGCATCCGCCTTAGGGGCCCCCAACGCCTCCTCTAATAGAGGTATGCGAGTCTTCCGCATGATCATCTGTAACTCATCGCGAGCCGGCTTGGATGCCGCCAGATATTCTAGGATAGAGCACTGCATGGGCTGTCGAAGGGCCCGCCTCAGTGGCTCGACCATGTCAATCTCGTCCAGCGAACTCTTCATCAAGAATTTTTTCACTCCCCGCTTCCGCGGTGAAAGAATAACCTCCTCTCCATCGATCCGCTGCCCGTCCTTTTCCGCCATCACGTAATCCGTGTCAGTCTTCTTCGATGTAGACCCTCTGGTCGACTTGGTAGCTGCCACCTTTATGGGTGCAGTTGCCATATCTCCTTCGAAAGTTATCTTGATGCTCTGGCTCCTAACCGACTCCTTCCCTTTACTCGGCCTTACTCTCCTTACTTCTACATTCTCCTTCATCGAGGGGAACATCGATACGTCTCCCAGATCGTCTGCCCACTTGACGTACTTGCGGTCATCAAGCACGACAAGTCCCTCATCTATTGCCTGCTTGAGATCCGGGCAGTCTCTCTTGATATGATCATCTCCTCTACAGTAGACGCATGAGTTCCTGGGCGTAGATGGTCTGTCGACTGCGCTCCTAGAGATCGAACCCCTGGCTGCCCTGGGGTCAGGGGACTTGGGATACGGCTTTGATGAGGCGCCATACCCCCCTCTCTCATTCCGGCCGCGCGAATCATTGCGGCGGTCTCCTCCAGATCCTCTTAACTCATATCGTCCTCGTGAATCGTTTCGGCGGTCTCCAGTGTCGTATCGCCCGCGTGACTCATCGCGTCGATCTCCTCGGTTATACCACCCCCGCGAATCGTCGCGCTGCTCTCTCGCGTATCCCCCGCGGTCATACCGTCCGCGCGAGTCGTCTCATCGGTCCCCATCTCGATCTTCTCGCTCATATCCGCCACCTTTGTATCCCTCTCGATCCGTCCTCTCATATCTTCCGTCTCTATATCCATCCCGGTCTGATCTCTCGTATCTGCTGTCCCTGTATCCATCTCGTCGGCCCTGATCTGACTCCCACCGGCCTCGAGAGTCGCCTCTACCCCGATCGGCCTCATAGCGAGGGCTACGCGAGTAATCATCTAGCCTCCTAGCTCGCCCATACGTCTCGCGAGCTCTGCGGTCCTGGTCTATCTCATCATCCCTACGTCGCCATGGCTCGTCGTCTCTCTCCCTCTCCCTCGCACGATAATCAGTCAGCGTTCGAGGATTTCTATCCTCGACACTCCTCCAGGAATCAGTGTTCCTCCGGTCCCAGCGAAGTGAATAGGGCCCTCCGGGCTTGTCTCGGTATGTCGTGGCTCCGGTGGTGGTCACAATCTCTGTAACTTGGTCTTGTCAATCCCTTTACCATGTCCCTTATCTCCTTCACTTCCTCGGCCACGACTTCATTCTCCTCCGACCAGGGATAGTCCTTGAAATCAGGACATCTATCAGTGGCATACTCCTTGTAGAAAGAGAAGTCACGTCTCCTCATCCCTCTCCACACCAAGTCCTTGTAGTCGTCTGCCTCTGCCTTTATCGCGAGCTTTAGGACTTCTGGGAAGTCAAGCTTGTCGCGCAGAAGATCTCTAAGTATATTTTTTTGCCTACCTTTGGACAGGTGTCCGATGAAGATAGTACAGCGCTCGACCTCTGAGATCTTCCCCTTCTTCATCAGCACGTCGGAGATCTTCTGGAAACGCATCCCAAATGCCCGTACGCTCTCATATTCATCTTGAGTCATTGTCTCAAGGTCCTTAATGGAGTACTTGTTATCCTCCAATTTGTAAGGCTCAACGAGGTTCTTCTTGTACGTAGTCCATTTCCCATCCTTCGGCCGATCTTCCTTAACTTCCTTACCGAGACTTGAGTCCACATTAATTAAGAAGTTCTCTATAATCTCTTCCACCGACCACTGACTCCGGCTAGCGTGAAGCTCCCACTTCTCCAGATATTCTGTAATGCCATAGCCCCTGAAAGTATGAGGATCTGAGACCTTGTTCGTAATAATATAGCGATCCTTGCTCTCGTAAGGGAGCGGGTGTGATTCCCCCGTTTGGGGGTCAAAGACACGCCGAGGCGGTGCTCTATCTCTATCTTTGTCCCTCCAATACGAGTCCCTCGATCTCTCTCGCCAGTCGTCTCTGTGCCTATCCGCCATGGTTTCCCTCCGCTCGTACTCGGAGGAGCGTCGTCTCGTCGCTTCTTGTCGGCCGCTCGAGGTTCCTGTCTTCAGAGCCTCCTGTGGCTCTGTCACGACTGACTCGCCTATTACGTCAGGCTCTCCGTCATTGGTTTGATCAACCCATCTCAGCGGTGCTTCCCGCCTAATTCGTTCCTTCAGATCCCTCAGAGCTCGGTCGGGCGATGTCCTGTACTCCTCCCCCGCTTCGCCCGTGGTCGGTTGTGGCCCCATCATGTCTGGTTCCAAAGGCCACCAGAAGACACAGTTAGGTACCCTCGCCGGGTGTTTCAGCCCGGACCTATGACAGTTGCTGCAGCCCGGACCTGTGATAGAACTCACAGCCCGGACCAGTGTCAGTTGCAGCAACCCGTACCTGTCTCCTTGTCACCGTTCGCGTCCGCCTCCAATCCTACCTCTCGACTGCCCCGATTACCGCCACCAGTACTCCGTTCCGGTTGCGGATCTCGTGCTCTCCCTCTATCCCAAGAATCCCTATGTCTAGGTAAACTTCTCCTTCGGGATCGGCCAACAAGGCCGCGCCTCTCCGGATCTGCAGTACACCCGTAACATGATCTCTACGCCTGTGGCAGATCGCTGTCCCAAGCCTAACCAATGTCTCCTGATCAGCACCCCTCAAGAGCCTCCAAGCGTCTATCTCCGTCCTCCTTGCTAGGTCTCCCATCCCGTCCTGAATCGGGTAACCTGCTGAAGGTGGAAGCTCTCCTCCTACTGCCATCCAAGGTCGCTCACCGACCTTTCTGACCTCCACTATCTTTCCAAGAGCTTCCAATCTCTATTTCTCCTCCTTTAACTCCCAGACGGCTATGAGGTCATCTATCTAGCATATGAGGTAAGTCAGTGCTATAGCCACTCGTAACCTCATCGCCGACAGCTCCAAAATATCATAGAATGTCTCAAAATCCTCCTCATCTCCACTATCCTCTATGGCCTCTAAAGTCTTTATCGATTGCCTCCAGTACCGATCGTGAGCGGCTAGCACCCTAAGTATTGCACCGTCTGTTACGACTCTCCCTAGCTCTCCAGCTTTCCTGGCTTCGCTTATCTTCAACCTCTCAGCCTCCCTGGTCATCTCGTACCATGCCCTTATCCGGGACCGCCCTTCGAAAGGTGTCACTTGGAGTATGTATTTTATCCTTCGTCCTCCTTCCAATCCAATCCAAAGTCCTGTCCCCCTAGCCTCACGCAGCGCACGGCGGACACACTCTGCTTCCTCAAGTATGCACAGTCTGGTATGGAGCTGGAGCTCCACGGTCACTAACACCAACGGTCCGTCCAGTCTTCCTACCACATGCAATGAGTATCGATCCATCGTGTGTAGTGCAGTCCCGCTCATATCCTGTCGCTACCTCCCTGTGTTACCTTATCCTCCGTTGTCACGCCCTCTGCAGACCTCTCCCTAGTTCCTTCGCGTGATACACTCCTAGCTTTTACCCTCTCCAGAAAGTCTGATCTCCACGCCTGGATAATCTCTCTTTCCTCCCTAAACAAACTCTCTAACTGTCTCGTCAGGAGCTCAACCCTATGCAACTTGCCCTCATCCTGGCACGACAAGATCTCCCTTAGCTTGTTCCCCAACTCCTTTACCTGGTTCAAGAGTGGTTTTTTAATGAGCTCTCTCACTCTTTCGACTGCCTCACTCTCCTCTTCCATACTCAGTCCTCATCTCTTTCCAGCTCATCCTCTCACCCTCGCTCTAGCCTCCGCTACCGTCTCGTCATGGAAGTGCTCCGCGCGCATATAACCATGAGACCATATCACCACATCATAGGAAATCGAGGTATGGAAGGTCACCCGCGCCAGTACATCATCTCTATGCTCGTGGATCAAATCCCTGGCTCGTTGTCGGCACTCCCTCGCCGTCAAGTCCTCGTCTATGTAGCCTCGGAGAAGTACCGTCACAGTGTACCCTGTGCTCACCAGCTGTTCTCCTACGCGCATCACTATGGCCGTCCTCCTCGGCATTCCCTACGCTTCGACCTCGAAGAGAAATCTCACATCCTCTAGCCCCACGTAATCAATCTCCGTCCGTCTCCTGCAGTACCTAATCAGATCGACTGGCCTCAGACAGTCCACCCAGCAAGTAGCGTCTATGATATCGTCAAACGTCTCTCTGCTGGGCGGTCCCCACCTCACACAAATGGCGTAGTATACTTCCCTGAAATGGGGCGCTAAGCCCTCCCAAAGCACGTAAAGTGTGTGGTCCACTGCTCTACTCAAACGATCCACGCTCCCATAGGTCTGCCCTATCACGAAGGCAGGAAGTCCGAATCGCCAGTCCTCTCTCGGGTAGAGGGTCGGATGCGGAGGACTGTATACCAAGCGGCTCCTATACATCCTCCCTCCAGAGAGTCTCGCCAGTTGCTGATTAACGATCACTCTGGCCAACAACTCGCTCCTCCACCAAGCCCTGCTTGCCCCTGCGAGCGTCAGTCCTACCTCTAAATCGTGTGCTCTATCCGCTATCAGATGTCCGACCCCTTCTAGGTCATGAGTGCTCTCGGGTCGACCATCTCTCAGTGTCACTGTCCAAAGTAAGAGTTCCTCTGCGATCCACGTTCCCAAGTATCGTAACGGAACACGCCCTGTCCCTTCTAATGCCACATGAAGAGGAATGTCGTATCCAACCGCCGTCTCTCTGGGTCTCACAAGCTTCCTCACGCTATAGGATTCGGACTCTCATGAGAGAACATAAGCTAACCAGGCTACTGAGTCACTCCTCATCTTCACTTCGATTCTCGATCTGTATTACTCTACTCCCTTCGACGTTCCCTATCTCATGATGTCGCTAACCCCTCAGACAACTCTCCCACTCAGGTCTATTATGGCCGAGTAGGTGCTGTGCACTCTCCCGTCTGCTCCATGGAAGTAGATAGTGAACTCGACGTACCTCTGGCCTCTCCGTATCTCCAGGGCATGCTCCGTCATGAGTCTGATCTGTCGCTCAACATTGCCCAACACTTCATCTTCCCAGCCTCGTGTCCTATCTCGTCGTAGGGAAAGCGTCACTCTCAGTATATCCCTGTCTGCCATCCTTTCCTGCTCTTGCTGCCAGTCTCGCCTCGCCTAAAGATATATGCTTACCGTCTCTCCACTACTCTCTTATCTAAACCTCACTCGGATGTGCCCTGCCTCTAGTCGTCTTATGCATCTGGCATCTCGTCATCTGTGACCTCATCTACCCTCCGACCCCATGGGATATCCTCCTGTCCCTCGGCCTGAAGGAGATGCCCCCAGTCGTCCTCCTGCGGCGCCTCTCCACCTACCTGCTCTTGTCCCTCGGCTCGCGCCAGATCTCCCCAACCCTCGTCCTGGTCACCCCAAGGGTCTATGTCATCTAACTCCTCCCAATCCCGATCCTCAGCGTACCACGCAAGATCGTCTGCCTCTGGATACACCTGTCGGTAATACTCCTCAACCTCCCCGGTCAAGATGAGATGGCTCGGCCTCTCCTCACGAGTCCCGGCTAACAGTTGTCCTACTCCAACTAAATGATATGTAGGCCTCCGAGCCTCTCTCTCTAGTATCGTCCAGAAGGCTAGGGGCTGGTACAGAGAGTATAGGTCAGGGCTCCCGGTAGGTACAATGGCCCGCAGGAACTCAATCAGCTGGAGTCCTCGCTCGCCTACAAGCGGCCCTATTACAAACTGCGCATACAACACCCAATCCCTGTAAGTGTACCCTCGGCAGAGGTCGTCCAAGTCAAGAGTCGCAAAGTAGATCTCGCCCAGACGCCTAATTCCCCAAAGCTCCTCTGCCATGAAGCACGGAAGTGTCACACGCAGTCGACTGCTAGGATATGGGAACCGTCCTCCAATCCTGAAGGTCGTCGTCACTCTCCGAACACCCCCGTGCAGCTGCTCTACCTCGTCGCGTGCGGAGTCCGCTCTAGCTAGTAAGATCGCCATCGCAGTCTGCTCCTCTCGCCAATGATCGTGTACGAGGTCGTGATAATAGACCGTAGCTAGCACCTCTGGCGAGTAGTAAATGTGGCCCACTACCTCTATGCTAGTCGTGCCTGGTCGTCGCCACCTCTGACTGTCTAGCTCAAACGTCTCGATGACATACGTCCACAAGTGTACGTCTGGGCCCAACACCGTCAATGACCATCGGCTCTCTCTCGCATCCGCGGAAACCCCTCTGGCCGGCAGATCCAGCGCCACCCTACCTGGCGCTACTGTCTCTGGAGGTCTAGGTCATCTAGCGTCGTCGATCTGAAGCTCCACTCCACTGGCCTGCTCTACCATCGATCCGCTCTCCACTATTAGTCGATATCAGTAGCTAAGCTCACTCAACCGTCGCCCTAATGTGCTCCTCTACCTCCTACGCCTGGACTGCTACTCCTATCCTGGGGAAGTGGGCGTCCGTAACGTCGATCTCCTCCTCGTCAACCTCACTCTCTGGGTCGACCCTGTCTGGCTCCCAGGCGTCCTCGTCGTCCTCTCGCTCCCAACCCTCGTCGTCAATCTCGTCCTCAACGTGGTATGGCGCCTGTCCTATAGCCTGGTAGTACTCCGCCAACTGATGACCGTATATCGGAGGTCGGCCGACATCCTCACTCCACCAGCTCCCCAGTCGTCTGAGAAGAGCCGCCCGATGCAGGTCACGTACTCGGGCCCTGCTCGGAGCTCACGGTCTAGCCAATAACAAACGCACAGAGACTGGGGCCACTCGTCGTCTATCGAACGGATCAGCTCTATAAGGTGAACCCTCTCGTCACCCCAACGAGGCTCACCGGTCGTGAGCGAATAATAGATGTAGTCGAGGTCGTCAGGCCTTCTCGCCAGGATCTTGAGATCCTGATAGGCTAGGTATGTCTCGACCACTCCACCAATATCTCCAAAGACGCTCTCTACTACGAACGCCGGAACTATCGCCCGCAGACTCCGAACGATGTACGGGAAAAACCCGTCCTGTGCTACCACCATCTCGCCCGTGATATCAAGAGGAGGGCGTCCGTGAAATAGGGTCAACGGGTCGCTCGAGTCCTCCGCTCGGAAGGCAGCTACCTCATCCCTTAGGTAGCGTAACGCCCTGCCAACCGCGCCACTAGTCCCTGTCGTCACGAGGCCCACCACGGCCTCCCTGACCTCGCCCGGTCCTAAGTACAAGTAGGCTCTCACTACACTCACTCCTTCCCCAGGCCAGTGCTCTCTGTGCGTCCAAAGCCACACGTCCTCGGACAAGATTATGGACCTCCACGCAAACTGGCCGTCAACGTATCGAACGCTGCGCCCGGAGATCGTGAGCTCCACCAGATCCCCTTCTATGAGTTCAGGGGGCTCCAAGTCCTAGTCGATGGTGACCTCATAGACCTCCACTTGCGCTCGCGGCCACATCCAACTGGCGACTAGAGAGAACGCAGCAAAAGGGATGGGTAGAG